AACTCCTTTGTCCACCTCTTCACCTGTCAGAAACAGGTCGCTTTGTTATCACAATGAATTAAAGTCTCACTAATCTTTAAAAGAAACAGATTCCACTGTATCTCTTCTCATTTCAAGTAAACAATTAGAAATGTTCATCCTTATTTCATTTTAAAGTTTCTGAGCTATAAAACCCGTACTCCAACCACCAAATTAACTCTTTATGTTATTTTTCTCTGTCTTCATGTTTCAGGAAAAGAAGCTGTGGATTCATGGTACGGTGAGATCAAGGATTATGACTTCAAAAAGTCTGGACATCAACCCAAGACGGGTAAAACACAGCCCTCCTGAAAAGTTCTGCATATACATGTACTGTATAACCTGCGTTGCTAAAGTATTTGTCATTACAAGATCAGGTCATCATCAGTAAGTAGTATGTTTTTACACATTTTCCTTTTTCCACTAGGTCATTTTACTCAGGTGGTGTGGAAAAGCAGCACTGAGCTGGGTGTGGGCATAGCCACTGATGGCAATACGGTCTTTGTGGTTGGGCAGTACCGCCCAGCTGGTAACATTACCAATGCAGGATACTATCAGAAAAATGTGCTCCCAAAAGGAACAGGTAACACTCACACACATTTTGATGTTCTACTGCTTCTACTTATAATACAAAGGTGAAAATTAGTAAAGTCAGTTCACATGGAAATGTCTATATGTTAGACCTAAAGTTTCTCTACACCTACCTTTTTATGTCCCAGGCTGCTTTCAATCAAAACAAAACATACTATTACTCCTACAGCTGACTCTGGACATCAGAATAACATTTGCACAGCTCACTAATATTTCCTGTTATTTCCTAGAGTAAAACTTTCCCAGTGTCAGAGAGGGAGCTGCTGCAGACAACAGACCTCAGTGCCCAGAGAAAATGACCTGGACCGTATTGGACCCATCACATGTGGTTTCCTTCAATGTTCCGAGATTGAACACCAAAAAATACGCCTGTCGCATCAAACACGATTTTACACAACTGTCTAGTCAAATACTGTCTAAGTAAAATTGGTGTTTTGATCATCATCAGTGAATAATTTTTGAGTAATGTTTCAATGATTTGAGTGCAGTACAAATAAAAACAAAAGTCTTTGTGCTTGTTGTCCCCACACGATAATAACTAAAGAATTTTTTTGAATTGAAGTTCATTTCACAAAGTAGCTCCTCCTTTTCACTCAGGGAACAACTGTACATTACACAAATGAACAGAAACTTTGCAGTTAGCTGCTTTTAATATGGGTTAAGTCAGAAAGAAAGATTGTTGCACTACAATAACAAAATTAATTTGAACTGAGCCAATTAAAAAAAATGACTAATGATCAACAAGACATATTTAACTCTA